AGGAGGATGAAGATTATTAGGTTAGAATTGTGCAATTGTGTTTTGTAACTTGTTTGTCCATTGACTTTTCCCTTTTGGAATGGAATTGCGTCTTTTTTTTATTTTAAACGAAGTGGGTCGGGTCCGATCCGGTCGAGTTAAATCTTTTTTCTTGGATTAACCCATGACCCAACCCAACCCGACCCACCTTCTTTGCCCAAAACCCAACCCAACAATAAAATTTAAAAAAAAAAAACTGACCCAAACCGGTCGGTTCGGGTAGGTTTGGGTGATTTAGGCAGGTAGGTTTGAGCCCACCCTTAGATGTGATGTGGTGAAGAATATTTTGTAACCAATTATTTGGATGATTATGATCAATTAAATCATTAATTTTTTTTCAATAAATAATATGTAACTTATAAAATAGATCATTTGTGATCAATAAATAATATGTAACCTAAAAAATGTAAGATTACAATTAAATTTGTAATTGTTACTTACAATTTGTTAAGTTGTAATCAATTAATTTGAGAATTTATACTAGAAATAACTCGTGATAAATTAATTTGTAACGTATTACCAGAAATAAGTTGTGACCTATAAAATTTATAATTTGTGATTAGAAAATAATGCATAGCCTATTGATTTAATATTTTGTGACCAATAAATAAATTGTAACTTATAAAATTGTAATTTGTGATAGAAAAATAATATGCGACCACTTTATTTAATATTTTATAATCGATAAATAAGCTGTAATTTATAAAATTTGTGATTTATAATTGTGACATTATGTGACTGTGATTAGTACGTAACTGTGATCATAAACTATATAATATTGTGATTTTAATATATTTCCCTTGGAGGGAAATTAAATAAACGAGAGAGAGAGAGAGAGAGAGAGAGAGAGAGTTGTCCTCGGTTAATCTTTAAGTCATATTGTAAGATTAATTCTATTTATGTAGTGGACCTTAAATTCATTTAAAATTAAGTTGAAGGTCTCCAATTGATGAATATCAATATTTCTTTTTGAAACATTTTTTAACAACGCAATTTGTAAGATTCACAATTATTACTCATTTATTTATTGCGTATTCTACCACATTCTAATTCCCGAAACTTATAATAAAATCCAAACAAGCATAAAAATCTAATTATGTCTGAGTTTTATCATCATCATCATCATCATCTAGATTTTTTTAAATCCGAATTTAACCTATTTATAGCTTTATGATAAAATCTTTGTTGTGTGCCATCGAATAGTCCTAAACTTAAACTTTTGCCATCGAATAGTCCTTACCTTTGTACAAGTTCGAGTTCCTAATGATCAAAGTCATGGTTCGAACGTACAACTTCAATATTTAAATATGTAATAAATATATTTTTAAGTGTTAATAAGTTGTTGATCATTGAGAATGTATAGATAACAAATGGATAGTTTGTGAATTATACAAAATGATAAATAAAAGTTTATTTCACAAATTTGCCAAACACCTTCTTTGCAGGATATCTTGGTTTACTAAAGAATCACTCTTTGCAGGTTATAAAGACTGTTTGGTCAACTTTTTACAATATTAAGTGGATTATTGTTATGTTACTATTTGAGATTTTTTGTTGTGTTTTCTATTACGTGGTAACTGTCTTGCAATTTAACTGTGTTTTGTCATCCAATGTTGTAACCAAGTGTTGTACATGTAGCATTCCTCAAAATTGTTTCATTTTGAATTTCTTAGTTTCCAAAATTCAAGTTCAGTACAAATCATAAGGAAATAAATAAATGAATGAATTTGGGTTCCTCGAGATATGGTGCCCAATAAATTGATGATTCTCTGTACATATCTCTATAAACCTAACTGTTGAAGTGCATAACAATTGGTGCAAACCTCAACAATCTGTCCAAAGCATCGAGTGTAAATTTTCTTGCAAACAAGAAACAAACATTAGTATTCTTACCATTGTACTCGCATGAATTTCCACTCCTTAACTTCTCCAAAAACTCTGGAGTAACATCTGTCCTTATAAACTTGGAAGGATGGGGCCCACCCTTGGACCAGTCAACCCAAGTCAAACTTCTATTTGAATTCATTCCTTCAAATTTCATGCTCACAAATGTTGGCAAATAATGCTCATCAGCATAACATGAACCATTGCAATAGTTTTGAAAAACTGGAAAATAAGTATTGTCCGCTATAACTTCAATTGCAAGATTTCTATCCATTTCAAACCACTGAGAGCCCTTTCTCCATTGCTCAAGCTTGATCAATGGCTGCATTAGGATGCTGTACCTTCCTCGACCAACAGGGCCAGGCAGATCGTATACCTCCACAAAATTTTGGGTTGAGTTC